AGCGGCGAACGACGCCACAGCTTCACCCCAGCTTCAGGAATGGGCGTTTTATCGAAATGGCTACTGCCTGCCCTGCCCCACGCTGAGCCATGCTGCTGAGGCGCTTCCCACGCAGCAACTCCGCGGTCCAAGAACCGGGAGGGTTCTGCGTGAATTTTACACGGATCCAGATACCAAAGCGAAGTTCTGAATCCTTTCGACGTCGCAAACTTGGGAACATCAGTGTCAAAAAAACACTTTTAAATAAAGCTTAGAAAGCTTGGAAATGCCTTTCTGATGGCAAACTGAAGGGTTTCCCACCGAGAGCAGCCAGGCCCTTCAGCCGTGAGCGTGCGGTGTTCTGCTGCTAACGCAGTGCCCGCAGCGTTTATCAGGGCAGCATTACCAGCGCGCCGCTGCGCTCCTTACCTCCTCCGGGCAGCCGGGTGGACGTGGCAAACGCTTCTCCTCCTGCAAGACGCGCACCAGGCGGGCGACCGTCATCTGTCCCTGCGTGGGGCCGATCATTTTCAGGAACTCCTGTGAAGGGAGCAGGAGTCAGTGGCGAAGCCAGGCCCTTTCTGACGGACATTAGAACGCCATTCCAACCTCAGAACGGAAACCAGCGGCAGATGCTTATCACGCAGATACCGCACACCACATACTACAGAAAACAGGTAGTAATATTTATAAAGACAGATTCCTCACCGGGGAACGCAGTCACCACAACTTACTCTGTACAGGGTCTTTGGTGAAAGACAACCACAAAGGTTGGTTTCCTAAGAGAAATAAATTTAAAAACAACAACAAATAAAAAGTGATTTGAGCAGCAGTTTCTTTCCCAGCCACTTACTGCCATGGGGCTGGACTCGGAGTCGCAGTAGGTCAGCAGTTCGTACAGCGTCACCCCGAACGACCAGACGTCCGAGGCGATATAGAATTTGCTCTGAAGCAGGCATTCCGGAGCATACCTGTGGACACAACACGGCGGCGTTAAAACCTTCTTCAGAGCTGCACAGACCCACTCACACACGCACAGCCCACGTGTATTTAAAGTGAGGGAACCAACACCTGCATTTGTAGAGTCCTTGTATATAAATTCACACGCCCACAGGGCCTGGGGTGCCACAGAAGTAGCAAATAAGGTACAACTGTTACACAGCAAGCCACTGTGAGACCAAAATCACGGGGAAACGGATCATTAAGTGCAAAAAGAAATAAACAGGACAAGAGCAGGTAAGTGTGGTGTACTGGTGCTTTTTCCTTGCTCTGATGCATCTTTCTTCAGGCCTCTTATCGAAACAGGAAAAATCGTCGGGACGCCTAAAGCCTAAGCCTGCAGGAACAGGCAAGTTACTCGGCTGCACAAAAGAAAAGGAGTTACGAGTTCCTACCAAAAAACAGGGCTGTCGAGGTCGTCTTTGACCGTGTAGTACTCCTTATCGGTCTCGATTGCCTTGGTGAGCCCGAAGTCGCCGATCTTCACTCTGTTCTCGCTTTCAACAAGGACGTTTCTCGCTGCTAAGTCCCGGTGCACGTACTGACGGGAGCCCAGATAGTCCATTCCCTGTGAGATAAGAAAGCCTTTTATGCCAGTTTCTCCAATACTTAAAACCTGGTTTTCTTCAACTTCCCCTTCGAGTGCTCCCCTGTTCACGCGGCAATGCTCTGTCCAGTTTCCCATGGCAGGTTCTCCATCTGCTGGCACTTGCCAGGGTCCTTTTCTGACAACCCCCCACTAGTCTCAGCCTCTGGGTCCCTCACCAGCTAAGACTGCTGCTTCTGCTCTGCCCTGGTGAGGCCCCATCTGCAGTGCTGTGTCCAGTGCTGGGCTCCCCAGTTCAAAAAAGATGAGGAGCTGCTGGAGAGAGTCCAGCAGAGGGCTACGAGGATGGTGAAACTGGAGTATCGGAAGTTCCAGCTGAACATGAGTAAGAACTTCTTCCCTCTGAGGGTGACGGAGCCCTGGCCCAGGCTTGCCCAGAGGGGCTGTGGAGTCTCCTTCTCTGGAGATATTCAAGACCCACCTGGACAAGGTCCTGTGCAGCCTGCTGTAGGTGACCCTGCTTGGGCAGGGGGTTGGACTGGGTGACCCACAGAGGTCCCTTCCAACCCCAAATGTTCTGTGATTCTGTGATTCCGCTTTGTGCTTTTTAATCTTCAGCTGAGCAGCCTCCACTTCCAGCCCCTTCTCCACAGCAGCTGTTCCTCTGGGGCTGCTAAAACCGATCCGTCTGCCTCTGCGCTGCTACAACCGCTGGCTCCAGCACCACCACCAAGCCAGAGCTGCTCGCGGCACACACGCTGCTTCCTGCTGGCCCGACCGCACTCACGTCTCTTCCTCGCTTTAGACTTGCAGGGTGCTCCTTCCCCCTTGCCAGCCCACCCTTTCTAAATGCTCTCCTCCCTCCTAGTCCTTCAGATTCCACAGGAGGAACAACTTCTTACAGCAAACTCTCACAGAAGGGAACTTGGTAATGATTCCCTTGCTGATCTTTGTGCCAGCAGCACCCTGAGCACAGGAGAGACTGCTTTAGGATTCGGGTCCGTGGGGACAAAGCAAGGAGAATGGTAGTGTTCCTAAAGCAAGCCTCTCCTCCCCTCCCCCCCCAATCTATTAAATTAATTACTGAACTAATCAGACAGCAGAGTTGCAGGCAGGCTCTGGCAGCAGGCTCACCTTGCAGATCTGAACGGCGTATCTGAGCAGCTGTTTGAGATTGATTTTGTTCTTGTTCCGGGGAAGATACTCCTTTAGGCTCCCAGAGGGAAGGAATTCCATGATGAGTTTAATCCCACTTCCTCCTGCAAGCACAGCGTGTGTTTGATTTGCGGACACGTGACCCTTCTCATGTCAGTGACCCCAGTAACTTGCGTCCGAGCCCGCAGCTCTGGCAGCGTTTGCCCTGTCAGGGTATCGCGTGGCCGTGGCCAGACTGGGAGCAAACTCCCCCTACCAGTCACTGACCCAACCCAGGGAATCTATTCCAGGCTGGACAGTTGCTGAAGGCAAAGTTCTTCAAGTTTTTAAATATCGGCTTAAAACAATCACTATTGCAAATGTGAAAAATATAAGGCAATAGAGCTTTTTTCTGTGAATAATAATGTATGCCTCTGATCACCACCTCTGGGTTTACGGGGTTCTGAGCACGGGTCAGCTCGCTCCTGGAAGGCGGACGCGCCAGCCTGCCCAGGCGCTCCTTCTGCTTAACGGATGCGGGGGGAACAGCAGCCACGCTGCTCACATTCAAGTCAGCAAAGCACAAAAATGGGCAGGAGGAGGGAATTCAGAGATAAAATCCTGCTTTTTCCGTGAAGAAAGAGATCTAAACCCGTAAGAGTGAACTGAGACTGTTCTGCTTTTTAAAATGCTTCGGTTTTGAAAGAAAACCCTTACGCTTTTAGTGTATACGTTACCATCTTCTGTGCAGATTCCCTTGTATTTGACAATGTTCTCATGGTAAAGATTCCTCAAGATTTCTATCTCCTTCTTGAGATCAGCGATGTGATTCCCTCCACTCTCTGGCTTTAGAGATTTAACGGCCACTTGCTCCCCTGTGTTGTCGCCTTCGGGGTCGTATCTGCAGAGTTCAACCTTGCCAAAGTGGCCCTAGTCGTAAAAGACAAGACAGCGTTATTTAGCACAACACTGGCTAACGGTAGGGTCACGGACGCGCTGTTTCGGGCGCTGACGATTCGCATCTTCCCGCTGTGACGCAGAAAGCGCCCGCAGACAGCTGCGTACACACGCACACGAGCCCTGAGCTGCGTTCTGCACCTGACGCTGCTCTTACCTCGCCCAAGTCGCGGATTCTTTTCAAGAATCGTTTTTCAAAGAGCGTGGGGTCGACCTCTGTGAAGGGTTTCTTCTCTGAGACGATATCGGGATCTGGGAGTGGGGAGAAAAGTCCCGGTCAGACAGATTCCTGCCAGGACACCTTGGTCCTGACACGTCAGGGCACCCTTGCTCACTTCCAGTCTGCCGCTGCTAGGGCGTTGCTACCCCTACTGCCACAACTTTCCCGAGGTAAATCCTGCCTGCTTCTGGACAGGGAATTCCTTCCATTCGCACACGCTGGTCTAGCGCTGGCTGATCCTCCTCCCTCGCTTTGTGGGTTGCTCACTGGGTCTTCTTCCAGACTCCGATTCAGTTTTCTCTTGGTATACTTCCCACCTGAGTAGTTATTCAGCTTCTATGCTCATTTATACTACGTATCATAGAATGGTTTGGGTTGGAAGGGACCTTGAAGATCATCTGGTTCCAACCCCCCTGCCATGAGCAGGGACATCTCCCACCAGCCCAGGGTGCTCAGAGCTCCATCCAGCCTGGCCTTGAGCACTGCCAGGGATGTACGGGACATCAAGTTTTGCCCTTAACTGATCGTCTGTTAGTTGTTCTGTAGTAACTTCAGCATAAGATGAAGCAGGAGCCAGAGTTATCTGTGTTAACGCTCTGATTCAGTCAAGAGAGTCCTACGGAAATCTCATGGAGCTCAAAGATTGTCTTGAAACTAACTTCAGCTGTTGCACAAAGTACGGACGATCGAATGAAACAGCAGTAACGCCAACACAGCGTAGGCCCACATTCAGTAAGGACTGAATACTCAGATCCTATTTGCGCTCACAGAATCATTAAGGTTGGAAAAGACCTCTAAGATCATCAGGTCCAACCATCACCCCAGCACCACCATGCCTGCTAAACCGTGTCCCCAAGTGCCCTACAGAAAGGGCTATTCCCATGGCCGCAGAGACACAACACTCTCCTGTCCACACACCCGTCCACCCACAAGAACGCCGCTGTGAGGTGCCCAGCTTCGCCAAACAAACCAGCCTCCCTCAGCCAAACCAGGCCTTACTTTGTTCCTCCAGCTTGTTGATGTCCCTCATGATGGCTCGGAAGAAGGGTCTCTGGTGGGGGTCGTAGTTCATGCACTGTTTCATCAGGTCGGCCAGCTCCTTGCACGACGGTGTCGCCAACACAAAATGCCCCTCGTAGAACCGCTCCTTCTGCAAGGCGCAAATGGAAACGCCTGCGTGAATTTTAGCTTTTAACACAATAAACCCACGTTCTCCATCACAAGGTGGGACCACTAGGTCCTTAACTCATTGTGAACTTTTTCTTAACCTTGCCAAGCAAATCCTCCTTTCCAGCAGTAACTCTAAACCGTCTCCTACCAGGAGAGAGTTATTACTGTGCAGAATCTGATGTAGTTTGGAGCAACCACTCGTGACACATGAAGTTTCTAAAATGTGCTACAGATTTCACCTTTCAGAAGCTGTTTGCCTGCCAGGTGCCAGGCTCACCACGTTACGTACGCACCGGGACGAACGGTGGAGTGGCAACGCTTGCCGAGGAAACAACGCAGCACCGGCTGCTCTCCACAACCCCCCGCAAGCTCCGGGGCAGATGGGACGAGGGTGGGCTCGCACGTTTTTTAAGCTCTGCAGGACTGCCCCGGCTGCCTGCCACGTGCAGGAAGCGGACTGCAGCCAGGGCAGCAAGTTCCTTTCAGCTACCTCCTGTTAACACAACTCAGGCAATGACTCAAGCACTCAGTCATTTCCTTCAGACGAACAGCGGCTGCCTTGCTCCATCGCCTTCCCAACACAGCAAACCTTCAAGAGAGAAGCAGCCCGTTCAGGACATGCCGAGGGACTCCGGCAGTGACGAACCGAGACTGCCAGCAGTGAGGCAGAACAACATTCATTTAAATTGGTTTTAGATTTCAGGGTGAACAACAATGGTGTCCCACAGGAGACCTGTTCTGAACCGATGTCTGAAAGAACCAAGCAAGAGCAGAAGAACCTAGCTGCTTTTACACAGAACCTCAACCAGTTTATAACTGGACACCGGGGTTAGAAAAGGAGAGGTGTCAGAGTGTCAGAAGTTCTGTTCAGTTGTTACTATGCTGAGCTCTGAAAATGCCCAGCGAGGTCAGGCTGGAGCAATAATTAGCAATTTTTATAAGCAGGATGAGAATTCCCACTGCAACCCGTGGCAATTTAGATGGATCAGGCCCTTGAAGTCCAGCTGAGCCAGTTCTCCTGCAAGCGGAAAGCAACTCAAGCTGGGTATGGAAACTGAAGTGCCAAGGTGGACGCATCTGAGAGGCCAAGGCAGAGTTTATGTACGAGTGTTTTACCTCTGCTAACGTCTTGTCTTTGAGCGGTATTTCTCCGTTATAGCAGATTTCCCACAGTGTTGTACCAAAACTCCACTTATCTGCTGCAACGCTCAAATTTTTGGAGTCTTCAACACATTCGGGGGCGATCCAGGGGATTCGCTCGACACATTCTTAGATAAAACAGAGAACCAATGCATTCTGGAGTTAATATCGAAGGACTAACAAACCAGCCTTCTAACAGAACTATTCTTGTCTAACAGCAGCTTAAATAAACTAAACTAAAGCTGCAGTGTGTGTCCAGTTTCAGGGAAATCCCGATTCTCAGATCTCAGAATGTTTCTGTGGCTTTCACAAGCTTGTTCCTTGAGCCACCCAGAAACTGAGATTCCCTCTACATTATCTCACTAGACGTAACCTGACTTTTTAAGAGAAATGAATACAACGAGCCCCCCCCGCCAGCAACACTCCTTTACTGCCGTGCAGTTTTCAGATTCACGGAAGCCGATTACTTCTATTCTAGAGCCAGTTCTAGCTGGTATCAATGATACTTCTTCCTCTCCCCTTCCCCACCACCCTGAAGAGAGAAATGGGATTCCTGTACCGTACCTTGTCTGGACAGCACAGTTATGGGTATGCCCGGGTCGCTCAGCTTTATGAAAGGACCATATTCCGTGTCAATGCCCTCTCTTGCCAGCAGGATGTTTTTAGTACACACGTTTCCATGTACCAAATCCTTATCCTCCTACAGTCAGGGAGGAAAAGCATAGTGAGTGCAGCGAGCCAGCACTGCTCTGACATATAGCATAGGGGTCCACTGTGAAACACTCCAAGCTGAAATCCAAAAATACAGCTTGGAAGAACTTATCCTAGAGAAAAACAGGGAAAGGAGGAGTAGGGAAACACACTGTTTGCGTTTAAGCATTTGTGTTTGTAGAGCTGATGCACTTGGGAAAACAGATCAACTTTATCTTCCTTCTCGCAAAGCACGTAATTGCAGGCACGCACAGAAACTGGTGGCAAACGCAAGCACGGAGCCTGCTTGGCCTGCTGGTAAAAAAGGGGCTCACCACCTTCTCTGAGAGTCTTCCTCCTTATTTAAAGCAACGTAATGAATACAGAAAGAATAGCCCACGCGTTGTATCTGAGAAAGGTAACTCCTTAGTTACTAATGCAGGTGAAACCTCTGCAGCGTCAGGCTGCAGCCGCGACAGGCAATGCTGTTGTCAGCGTGCCTCCTTACCAAGTAGCTTAGGGCACTTGCAAGTTGCTTGGCAACTTTGAATTTCCAAAGAGTTGTCAGAACTTCACTTTTCCGATGCATAAACAGATCCAGAGGCCCAAATTCAACAAACTCTTCGACCATGATATCTACAAAGTCAAGTGCATAAAGTCAGTATCGCAACAACCAGTGTCTGCAGTAACCTCCTAGGCCTGCTACCATCTTCCCCCAACACTCCGAGGCCAGGTGGTTACAATTCTGTCTTTATTTCACCTTCCTCAGTTTATTATAGTGCTCAGAGTCCAAATTAAAAGGCTGAGAAGAGTGGCTTTATGTAGTAAATGACCAGTAAACCTGGAGCAAAGCATTTCAAAGACCACAGGGCAGAGCCTTCCCAGGAAAATAACTTCTGCCAGAGGGCTGGTTGGCACTGATGCCACCACTGTCACTCTGGCATTGCGACCTCAAGGAATCACCCTGTATGGCACTTTCCTCAAAGACAGCATTGGAAAAGGAAACTTGTTAGCAGAGAGCACTTTGCAGCTGCCTTGCTGCTCCAATTCCACTTCCGTCTGCACTGAAAAACCACAAGGCAGCAGCCGCTAACCCCGTCTGCCCCCGTGCTGGCACTGAACTGAACGGGCGCCCTGTCCCGGCCAGGCCGCTGCTTAAGCGTGCTGCCTGGAGAGATGCTCCCTGAACTCACTTTCGACGTCACGGACGCAGACTCCGTGGAGAAGGACGATGTGCTTGTGGGACACCTGCCTCATCATGCTTGCCGTTTCAAAGAACGCCTGTCAGAAAGCGAACGAGGTGAGCCATTAAACTGCTGGTCATGGCAGCAGGCATCCAAGCGTCTAACAAGTACAGAGCATCGCTTAATAAAAACATTTGCAACAGATCACCGTGTTTTCCAGTAACATAAAGGGTCAGCAACGTAGGGGCCAGGGCCTCACCACCCTCAGGGGGAAGAATTTCTTCCTAATATCTAATCTAAATCTGCCCTCTGTTAGTTTGGAGCCATTCCCCCTTGTCCTATCACTACACCCCCTTGTGAAAAGCCCCTCTCCAGGGCTCAGCCATCCCGCTGTCGTGATGAGGCAGCGGAGCGCTGGCAGAGTGGTGGTGTTCAGTAGGTCACGTAAGCAACCAGCGCTCTTCCCTGCACTCCCGCAGACGTGCTAGGGCTCAGCATCCCCTGGGTGCTGCACTAGCCTCTCTTACCAGATGATTAAGGAAAATGCAGGCCAATTAACTTGCCTGCGGCCATGTCGATGGCAGAACTGGTGACAGACTCGCAGCCCCACGCACAAGGCGGAGGTGATTTCTGGTAGGCAGCAGGACCCTCCCTGAACTCCACAGCTCTCAGCTGACACAGCTGGGAGACCCTGGGTATGGGTATGACGATGCATCTTATATCACAGCAAGGTCAGCGAGACCTTCATCAACGAGATCAGCTTACTGAGTGTGTCAAAAATCTCAAAAATGCTGGTCAGTGATGGATTTGACTGCCTAAAATGTTAAGATATACGTTCAGCATTTTCCCCATTCCCTTACTACACACACAACCTGGTTTTTTTAAAGGCTTTTCATAGTTAACCATGTACAATATAATGAGGCCCAGTATTGGTAGTACAACAGACAAAAAGGAAAAAACTTGCCAAAGAAATGTCTCTGTGGCTGGGGTCCAAGACTTTGAGGAGGACTTTAATCTCTTTTTCATTTTGATATCCTTCATTCTCATCATCTTTGTAGTTGAGAATCCCGGAGTAAATCTGCGTTCTCGTCCCTCTTCCAAGATGTTCCCCCTAAGACATAACACACCACCTATTTTTCAAGCCAGGACGTGAAGCAAACCAGCGTAGATTCACACAGATACTTGAATCTGCACTCTATTGTGCCTCTCCAAGTAAAGCGTGGATTTAGCCCTCCACCTGATCTAGCTACCTATAGACTTCCAATTATTACAGCAAGAAACCAACCACAGCGGGTTATTCGTTGCTTTAGTAGTCTCCCTGAGCATACTCACCACTGTGAACTCATTTGCTATTAAAGGGCTACCACATTTCCATTAACATCAAACATCGGTGTGCTTTAGCATTATTAGACTAAACACCAAATTAATAAACAACCGGCCTCTTATCTGCAATAAGCTGCTATTGAGGCAATCTTTAATGTGTTTCCAAAACTTAAGAGGAAGTAATATTTCAATGGAACACTTTGTTTGGGAAAGCAATTTCCTCCCAAATAGCAGAGGATTCCGCCTTGGGATACTTTTGCAGGAAGCCTGCACACTGACTATAAAAATACCAATCAAAAAAACAATTAATGTAACCTATATCTGTCCTCCCCGGTCACTGATGCGATTTGAAAAAAAACCCCAAACCCAAACCTTTTTATTTCACTGAAGCAGCTAACTGCACGATTTAAGAGCTCAGGTCTTCTAGAAACACTAAATGTGATTTGTGCGTTCAAGCCACTGTGTGTTTCCTGAAGTTTATTCAGCTCAGCTGCACCACTAACTGCAAACAACTGTCAGAAAATTTGTGTGGTAGATCAGTTTGGAACACAAAATTTTGAATGCTAAGCCTCTTCAGAGTTTTTGAATATTTCACCCTTTTTTTTACTGTAGGATATTATCTTAACCCTCGAGTTGCCCATTCCTCTGACATGTCAGGCTTTAAAAGACACAGCCACATTTAGCAGCAAAGCGGCTACAAAAAGCAGCTCTTAAGACTTTCATATCGAATATCAATTTGCTTTCTAGCGAAGGCATTACTTCCAAGCCTCTCCTCTTTTTCCACACAAGGACACCTAAACATTTAGATTTTGCAGTAAGAGGCTTTAATACAAATAAAGATTCAAATTAAGTTTTGCTGAGGGGAAATGGGAGTGGAGGAACCAGCCAGAACGGGGTGATTTTGTATTCTCTGAGTGGGCACAGCGGGCTGCCACGCTTCTTTCACTACAAGCGAGAAACCCGGCTCAGCAGCTGCCTACCTGTATGATTTCTTCCTTGAGGATTCGATGGAAACTCAGCTGCCCTAGGTGATTAACAGGCTGCCATTCCTGCGCCTTCTTGGTTGCAACTAGCAAGTTGGAGATTTCTGGAAGGCAGGGAGGGAAAATATTCTTTAAGACTTCTCAAAGATAACTGCGTTCACCCTCCACAGTCAGCAACACCACGGTGTATGCTCACTGCAAGGTAAATCCTCGAATGAGGAGGAGGAGGAGGGAGAAAAGGAACTTTGACTTAACTTCTGCTCAGGTAACTTCTATTCTGCCATTCAACAGCGAATTCACCAAAGTAGAGCTATGTATTTTACATCATATACACAACGTTAATATTAGCCACACTGGGGATGATATTAAGAAAGTGAATAGTGTTTACTGCACAGAGAAATACCCAGGACTGAAAGAGGCAATACCTCTGCCATACGTTAAGTCAAAAAACACACAGTCTTCCTGCCACAAGGTACATCTCCTTTCCAGTCTGCAGACAGGTAAGGGGTAGCTGGAGTCCCATTCCCTCTCTTTACCTCCTTGAAAATGTCTTGCACTCTGGGAAACACCAACAGTCTGTTTCCAGAGGACTGGAATTAAATTGGGGAATGGGAAACGAACAGAAGGAAAAAGACTCAAAAGCCTGGTGCTTCCTCCCCAGCTGCTTCTGGTCAGGGAGAGGCATGGTCAGCTCCAAAAGTCCTGCACGTGGATTCTGCCTTCCTGTGTTTGACAGTAGGCGGCATTTACTACGATACGACGGGTTTAGACGTCTGCCTGCGTCTGGCCTTCCCGTTACTGTGAGCAGAACACGCGCGCCGGGGCTAAACCCTGATCCAGCGCTCTGCCACCAATCAGCGATGAACCACGCGCTGGGAAAACTGCTTCATCTCTGCATCCCCTCAACTTCTTTCTGACTAACCAATTAAATAGAGAGATTCAAAAAGGAGGGGAAAAAAAATAACCAAGGAAGAGGCAGAACAGGGAACAGCACAGATCCCACTGGAACCAATGCTCAGGAAAAGCTGAAGTGGGCAGTCAACTTCTTGACCTGCTTTATTTTATTCCAAATACAGCTGTCAAAATGTCATTATTTTATTCCAAATACAGCTGTACAGCTGTCAAAATGTCATCAAAATGTCATCAAAATGTCAAAATGCTTAATCTCTCCATGCTCCAGACAATTGCCAACGTTATTCCAAAGCGCTGATAAGCTCAACGTCTATCCACAGAGTACTCTCCCCTAAAGCCATCAGAACAAGCAGGTAATTAACGTAGCTCAGTTATTCCCCTGTTCTGACAGGAAACCATTATCTGCTCAACACAATCACGCCACTGTGTTTCCTCTCTCACACAAAATTCAGCTGCAAGACCCTCGTCGTTTATAGCGAACAATTTTCCTAAGTGTTGGCATTAAGAGTTTAACAAAGGCACAAACCCCGACCTCGCAGACGGATCTACTGACCACAAGGCTGTTGTGGCTGCTGACAGCTGTGGACCAAGCCTTCCCTGTTGCTTCATGAAGATAATTGAGTGAACAACAGCTTGTAAGGAGAGCGAGCAAGCTTCATACCAGAGGTTGCCACACAGTCACTGCAGGTTGCAACCCTCCCTTGCTAGAGGAACGCAACGTGATGCACGGTAGCACTGCCGGGCATACGTGACTCGGTGGAGCAAAGGAAGAACCTTATATGGTCCCCGCTTCGCCGCAGCATTTCAGCCCATGACTCTGAGTCAGCTGTGACACTTTCTTTTTAAGCAAATCCGGAGTTCCACCTCTGCCATCGATACTGCAGGGCCAGCTGTTTAGGTGCAAGAAGGGAAACCAGAACTTTTCTCACTGTCATTTGAAAAGTTCACACAAACATGGCTGATGAGAGCACCAGCCCCTGAGCATCCTGTGCTGAGCTTGTAACACTGAAAGGAAACCCCTCAAACCTTGTTCACAGTGCTTAGTTTTGCTTTTTGGCAAGACTCCTCCTCCAAAGAGAAGGAAGAAACTTTATATGTAATTTCTTAAGTGACAAAAGAGCTTCACACAAGAACACAGGACAAACCAAAGACACTAAGAATGTCTCCTATTTCTGGAGTTTGCTTCCTTTCAACAACAAAGTTCGTTGCCTCTCTTAAAGGACAGACTACCTCTTGGTTTTGGCTGGCAGCACCTCTTCAGTGTAAAGCTTATGTTGTCTGTCCGAAGTATTTGTCCTTTGAGGTGATCCATCAGCTCTTTCAAGGATGAGAAGGGCTTGTTCGAACCATGTAGGAAGTACCCGCCTTTCTTCACCTCAATCTGGAAGTTCTTGTACTGGATTGAATTATTTATCATCTGCCATTAGGGGGGAGATGGGAAAAAAACAAAGCAAAATATAATCACTGAAGCGAAAGAACGTTTTAAAGCCATAAAAGTTCCCCAAAAGCCTTAGAAATTACATATAGGACCAGTTAATCGCTTGCTCCTAAGCCAGGGTCCTCTAATCAAACTCCAACAAAGTAGAAAAAGGCCATAAAATTCCTATAAGCTTCAGCCTCAGGAAGGCTCACAACAACAGAGCGGAAGAAAAGCAACATAAAGATGAAATCATCTAAGAAGTCCAAATTACTGCTTCTATGTTTTGCAGAGCCTGAGAGTATGCGGAAGCCCTGAGCAGGAATTTTCTCTTCCCTTGGTGAAGAATTGCAGAATCCGGACCATCTTTTCAAAATCTCAACTTAAAAATAGCAAAACTCCCTTTCACAACCCAGATTGTTCAATAAGTGAAACAAGATTTCAGGCTGTTGGTCAGACCTTCCAGTTTCATTCAAAGATATTGGGGAAGAATAGCTGCACTTCTGTGTTTATCCCCTTCCAGCCTTTCAAGGTCTACCCTCTACGCCTGCTTCCTCGCCTCCACCGTCCTGCAGCTTCGTGTCACCGCTCCCTTTCCTCTCTAAGCCTCGCAAGGAGGCTGTGTGTTTTCCAGGACAAAATTCGTTTCTTCTTTCAACGCTTCAGTTGCCCTGTCAGAAGACAGTGCTGATCATCCAGCTTCTTTGCAAATGTCTACAGAAGATCAACCCACTATCAAATATCCCGTTCTTGACCTCCTCATTGTATCTAGTAACATTTTTTTTTTCTAAGGGAAGAAAAGCAGTTCATATGCGTTTATGCTGTTGTTATTCTTGTGTCAATACTTTAAAGACTTTCCCAAAACTAGCAAGTCAAAAAAACTTTCCCAAAACTGCAGACTTCCAGCTGAGGTCAGTAAAATTCAAACTTCCGTGTAGTTGAAGTATTCTTCTTTTCTACTTCTACTCGTTACCATCAGGTTCCCTCACCTATCCCACCTCATGAACTTTTGCTTATCACTCATCTTTCAGGAAATAAGTTCCACCAGCTAACTGCATATATATCTCCTGCGGTGCTCTGCACGTAAAGGCAACTGTCCTCACGCACTCGTCTTTCACAGTGTGTCAGCAGAAATGCATTCATGTAATTAAATCCACGTTGAAGAAACACTAGGTAAGTTGCAGTGACAAATTCTGTATGCCATTCTCACACCGTATGAGTTTCAAAAGCTTAATTTCAATCCTGTTCATGCACAGTTTTATTGCTATGAATGGAAATGTTCTGGATGTGATGAATCATATTTGTAGACAGAGCGTATTTGTACAGGTAGCACATGGGCCTGGGGAAAACGAAGCTATGAGTACAATTATCTACCCGCTGCTGCATCAGCTATCAAACAAAGATAAGAGTGCCTGCCCCAGAGAACATAAATACGTCAACATGGATTACAGGGAGCTGCTAGTCTTTAGCTCATTATCAGATTACTGCTGGGAACGCCGCACCTGACGTACCTCTGAGCCTTCAAAACAAGTGACTGTCATAGTTTGTTGATGGCGTAGTCCGTGCTGAAAGAGTCAAGGTAAATATGAGGAAAACCAACAAAGGAGCGTTGCATCCAAAATCTACTATTAGTACATACACAAGAGAGTGAGTAGTCCTATATTTGGAACAAAAATGGATAACAGCAACGTAGAAATATTTATATGATTATTAAAACGCGATTTAATTGTGTGCATTACACACGCTCGCATTTAGCTGCACAGAGCAAGGGAAAAAAAGATTCATTAAGCTCTTTGGATGCTTAATGGGGAAATTTTGCATCCAACACAGTGTGTACATAAGCTCTCAGTTTTTTATATATTGCATCTTCAGATATAAAAGGCAAAGCCGAAAAGGGGGGCAGATGGGAAAATAACTGCTTTAGCTATTTATAAAACCAAAGGCTTTGTTCATCCACCCAGGACTCCCAGGGGCAGTGTAACAGTTCAACCCTGTTTACCTAAAATATTCCCATCTGTTCAGCTGACAACGATCTTCATAGCTGTCAGTGAAGTAAGCCTCAAAATTCTCCCACAGTGAGGAAATGTTGGTTTTATAGATGAGTAAGTTGGTGTGGAGAGAAACAATGATGTTTTTTCCATATAATCCTTAGCAAAACCAAGTTGTGCTACAACCTTTTGGCAACAAATGGCCTTCCAAATATCAGATTTCCTCCATGGATTCACTGTGCAGCAGTACTATACGACTAAGTATTCAAGTGGAAAAATAAAAATCAAACATTTTACTCACCAAATGGGTCCATGGCATCCATTTTTTATGTTGTGCTCGATCAGCGGGGGAGCCACATCCGTGCAGAGGTAATGGTGGGCATCTGCTGTAAGTCTGAAGTACCCGTCTATCAACGATGCAAACGACAGGGCCTCATCATGCGAGGACAGTTTTAACTCCTACAACAAAAACATATTTTAGTAAAGATTCTTACCGTTCTGTTAAAACATTTCAGGAGTGTTTTAATATCTAGCAATTTTTGCATAGAGTGGCTAAAAAACTGTCCAGAAACTTATGACAGAAGACCATACACACTTAGGGAGCCAACACTGACCATTCTCTGTCCTCCCCACTCGTTACGGGCTAGACACTTCCACTCCCCAGCGTGACACGTTCTGCTGTAGTCCTACACGAGATCTGTAAGGCAAACTCTCGTGCCAGCCTTTGTTCAGGCCAACCCCAAGTTCAGGACTGAGGCAGCCACGTTGGACTTGAATCCAACGGAACTCTGGCAGCTCCTTTCCAAATTCTAACAGCTGGCAGCCCACAGCAAGAAGAATCACTTAGGACACAAAAATTGGGTATCTGTAAACCACCCCTTCTCTCCTTCCCCCCCAGGCCTTCTCCGCATTTGTCTCCTCTCTGCCATCCTTGCTGAGCTCCTCCCGATGCTGCTGTTGGCTCCCCGCGCTGTGCAGAGGAAGGCCGTGGGCTGAGAAGCGCAGCAGGAGGACACCAGGCACGGGTGGTACGCAGTAACAAGCGCAGAGACACGGCGGTGCTCACCACCTCGCTGCTCTTCTAACTAGCGCTTTAGCACTTGTACAGCGTTGAGGATGGCATATTTAACTGTTTTAATTTAAGAGTCCCATCAGAAAATGGTCCTCAAGGAGGCTGCGACCTGCTGCCCAACAACACTGCGTCCCTACAGCTTCCCATGGGAGGGAAACCTGTCCAAGGTTTGGTTCTTACCATCCTTTTGTTATCCTGCTTGTTAATGCTAACTGTTGACTCCTTGATGACAATGTGGGTGATTTCAGGAAAATAGGAAAAATTGTTCCATACGTCTCGAATTTTGTGTTTTTCTTCATCTTTTTTGGTTTTGCCATCACATTTTTTCTTCTTCTCTTTCTCTGTCTGTACAGACTGTAAATATATTTTTGATAAAAAGTATACAAATAAAAACATTTTTCCTTAGCACAGTGCTTTCACTCATGCCAAATTAATCTTCCACAGCTATTTAATTCTTGAATGCTTTCTGCCCTGAATTATCAATTCATTTACATGTTCAGAGTCTTCGTATTGCAAGGATATAATTCTATCAAGAATTGTCCATGAGACAGTCTCCATGAGGGTGAAAGCAAGCAGTCATTGGCTAGGCAACTCACCTCCCTCTTGGTATGCTAGGAATAATTTTAGTAGCAGTCCAGAGCTGAAAGGGTTCTACTGAAATTTCTAGATTATGTACTTGAAATACTCTCCCGGAGCTGAGCCCAAAAAGCAGGAGCCACACTCTCCTTGCACCGCGTGCCTGAATTGTCGACAGCAGACAAAAATCTGCATGCAGACCACAACGAAGCTCAGCATCTTACAGGTCAAAAAATATTGAAAATTATCAGTAGCTACTTGTTTAAAAAAAAAGATGAATGCTCAGGCTGTGCAAAGCTTCCTGCTAGTCACAGGAAAGTTCTCACTGAAATGAAAGTCTTTGGTTTAGGCATTTAAATAAACATAATCTATAAATCAGCAGAAACAGGAGCCTTACAAGAAACTGGGTGCACTTCTTGCAAGCTTTTCTGCTCAAATGTCAGTTCTTCCTTCCCTCCCCCCCATTAACATTATCGTTTAAAACATAAATTCTCCATCAGAGATAGGTTACAGCTAAACGGAGGGAAGCACAATACTTCGTATGTTAAAAAAGATAACTATCAGTAGGGTTCTCACCACTGGGGGGAACTGAGGCAAGCAAAAAGAGGTCTATTTCTTCCAAGTATTATATGTAGAGAAAAACCTCAGAATATGCCATAACCCCTTCAAACCTAGAGCATATTTAATATTTATGTACACACAGTACAGAAGAGGTTAAGCAGAGTGACCTCAACTACCAGCACTGAAACAAAGAGCAACATACAAAACACCACCAGCACGAGAAAGTTTAGCTTTAATGTCACTGTATTTTAATTTATTCATGAGAAGTCTATGAGTACGAGCAAACACAGCACCTGGGGTGCCATACACAGAAAAGCATTAACAGACCTGGATACCAGGACAGAGCACTGAACCGTGCTTTCAAGTCTTTCAAGACTTGTGTCTGGTCTGGCAGATGTAGTAGAGTCTTTCACTTTTCTGGTGGACACGTTGCCCACGGAGGTTGTGCAGTGTCCATCCTTGGCAGTTTTCAAGACCAGAATGGATAAAGCCCTGAACAACCTGGTGTGATTTCAAAGCTAACCCAGAGCCGGGGGTTGGATCAGACACCTCCTGGGGTCCTGTCCAACCTGCATAATCCTTTAATCCTGTGAAAGAAGTCTTTTCAATAAAAAGGTGATCTGCAGTGTCTGAAGATCATCACCATTTTTAACAGCTATGCCCCCAAAAGCAAGCCTCTAATTTCCATTTATCACGGGATACTTACATTTGGCTTGAGCCTCCACTGAATTCCGTTGTTCCCTGTTACGATGACTTCATAGAGTGGGAGGATCTCGTTTTCTCCACAATTACATCTATTTATTTCATTCTCAGATGAAATCAGCAAAAATGAAGTCTCAAAAATTTCTGCTCCGTAATGTTTCGTCAAGGTCTCCATCGTCGACAAGTATTTCACTTTCAGATCACGCGGAGACACACTATTGTCACCAATGGTTTTGTTATTAAACTCTTTAAGGAAATGCTTGAAAACATTATTTATCCGGATCCTTGTTAAGAAATTCCTCTGTCTGATAGTCTTGTTCAAAGTTTCAGGAATATAATGCTTATAACTGGAAGGAAAAACAATGCTATGAGTTAATACTGTTGTCTCCTGAACTTCTAACTCCCTGAAATGTGCAACTGCCTTACTTTGAAAGTCAGAGAACCAGATGCAGTAAACCACTGTGCAGCTGGTACTTTAGCAGTGATTTACAGCATTAACAGCCAACAGGAATTCAAATAATCACCTGACCTGAAAGCTTTTTAGTCAGATGGATACAGCCCACTCCAATCAATAACACAACTTGTTCTAACAGTTTTTTCCTTAGTTTGCCGCTTAAAAACATTGCCATTTCTGAACCTACTAACCCAGAATCCTGAATTTACAGCAAGTCCGTTGGTACCCAACACATCAGTATGCCGGCTGCGCTAGCTGCATCCATTCCAAATATCAAAAATTCAGGTTTTCTAATACATATCCCTATTCACAAGATTAGGAAGACGCACTTTGGAATAGTAGTGTTGGAGTTTGTAACTCCTGTGCAGTCAGGAAGGTAAAATTCTTAAAATCCCTACTGGAAGAAAAGCGCAGCAGACTCAACAAAGAAGTTATCCTAGCTCACCTGATATCTTTGGGAAGCTCCGGAAGCTTCACGTTTTTATTGATGGCATAGTGAGAGATTGCAAGGACAGCCATCCCCAGACATTCATTCTCAATTTCATGAACCTCTTGATCGTTTTTCGGATCACGGATCGGCGCCAGGCCTTTCACTAAGTCATACTGACCCTTAATTGGAAGCAAAAAAAGAAAGCTACCAGAATTGGTATTTGTCATAGTTTATCTCTACGCAATATGTCGCAAGATCACAGGCTCTCCTCGAGCAAGAAGAGTCACCCAAAACTGAAAGCCAGGACAGCAATGGGTACAAGAAGGGAAGAGCTGTGCAACAGAGCTGCAGTCTTCTCTTCCACCAGTGGAACAGAAACACAGGCAAGCACCAGCCACCCCACAAACCCTGCCTATTTGAGAAGAAACACCGGCATTTGTGCCTGACACAAGTCTTTTAAAATGGCAGTCTGTGGAACAGGTGGAATGACCACAGCACAGCCATCCCACATACCGCCCACCATGCTGGGGCTTTCACCAAGAACGTGTGTAGACACCCAGGTAGAACCCCTGTGCTGCTCAGATGCTTCCAAAACCCCTGTCCCATTCGTTTATACATTAGCCCACCAAAAATTCACTTTTTTTTGGAATTAACTAAAGAAAGCATCACCCCTGTCCCCTTCTAGCACCATCACGATTTTGTTTTCTGGTGCACAATAAACACTCTGCGCCCCTGCTGCATCTCTGCCCTTCATCACCTGGTGTCTCTCTGAACCTCACGCACTCAGTCTCCACGCCCCGGATCAAAGCCAAGATTGCAAACTCTGTGGCAGCCGCCTTGCTCTGGGACAGTCTGAAAAACAGCTGGTTACCAAAGAGCAAAGACATTTCTGTTGCCTTATCCTACCAGCATTAGCGTTTTTCTGTTTGGCCTCTCTTTTAGAATGTTATTACCCAAAAGTGACATTCTGCTTAACGCAGTACTGTCTGACAATATCCATTAGGGTCGCTACTCTTTCCACAACTTAAAAGGGTGTTTCCATTCTTTTTGCTGACACTCAAGAAAAGGAAAAAAAGAAAAAATACAAAAAAACAGTTTTGCAGCATGTTTTCCAACAGTGCTTTTGCAAAGCTGCACACATGCACACAGGAATGTCCATACAAAACAAGGTGTAAGTTAGTTTGATTACACAGGAAAAAAAATATTTGCTTCTTTTACTACTTTCGAATGCAAGTGGTACCATTAAAACACACACGTAGCTGTAGCTAACTTGGTATTTCCTTCTATTGTGGTTTCACAACAGAACACCCAAATTCACTGGAGCAGCCTCATGCTATTACTTTTTCTGACGGACACAACCATATTTCAAAGTCTGAACATTCCACAGTAATTATACTCGGAATGAACAGCAAACATGTTTTTCTCCACTGCATTTAATTTGCTCATTTCACAAGCCTTCATCAACTTCAATCTTCCCATTTCTCTGGTGAACCCAGACAGCTTCTGGTTTGCAAAATCATTTGTCTGCATACCAACTCTACTGTCCAAGAGCGGCAGCTTTCCGAAATAGGGACCCTGCTTACTCGCCACGTCCAGCGCGCTGCACGTACCGCCAGCAAGTGGGAGGCACAAGAGAAGGGCAGAAAAACTGCGTGTAAGCAGGCTGTGTGACAGCAGTATTACCAGTCAGCGCTTAAACACCACGCAGTAAAAAAGACTTGCTAAAAGGACACCCTACTGTCAGTTTCAATACTGCTCCTGCTCCTCTGTAGGACTACAGATGTCAAAGTTATTATCTGCAAATGTTTTGCAAAAGAAAAGGTTTTTATATCTAAAAATAGTGCGTGTTAAAAGAAAGTATGCTATAAAAATAAAGCCCTTTTTGGACTGTGAGATAGTTTCTCTACACATTCTGCATATGGGTAGATTATTCTTCACGTAGCAAATTCTCTTTTCTCCACCACGCAGAAGGATGAAGAAAACACTTACCAATACTAACAGGTATGGCTACACGTACTTTAGAAGTCTGAAAATAGGTCTTTAAAGCAGCTTCCACTGGATCAAATCGTTTGGGTGAGACTACAATGGGCGAGATGCTTGCAAGCAACCTCTTACCTGTGCAAAGATGTATTCTAAGGAGTTTGCATCAAGTATCGGGGTTCCTTCTGGTGCCAGCTGCTTCTCGTAAGCGTTCTTTGCCCTCCTTGGGGAATGCCTCCACACCGAGGGTTCGTTTTCACTAGTCCCGTGCCAGTTTGTAAAGTAGTATCTTGCAAGAAAAGAGGAATAAACTTTTAAAACTTTTGGGGAAATCCTCCATTTACATTAGTTACGTATTTAAAGCTTTTGAAAGAAAACCAGTTAAAAGTCAAAAAATCTGTCAGTCTTCTGCCCTGATGTTGCAACTTCAGTGGTCCGCTGCTAAAACCGCCTGCCTGGCCTGCGGAACTGGGGAAAAATGGTGTCTTAGTCAAAGGTCTTCAGCGCTCCCACTCAACAGCATCTCACTCTTAAGACACAATACCACGCCTGGCTGCCTGTCACGTCCCTGCACAGCCCACCGAACAAGAAGCTGCCACTCAGATGACAATTACATTTCCACCAGCTCTGACAGCGCTTGAGCAGCGTAAGAGAGTGCAACGCTTCTGCCGTGCAACGGTTGGCATCTGCATTCGCAGAATCACAGAATGTTAGGGGTTAGAAGGGACCTCTGTGGGTCACCCAGCCCAACCCCCTGCCCAAGCAGGGTCACCCAGAGCCGGCTGCACAGCACCGCGTCCAGGCGGGGCTGGAATATCTCCAGAGAAGGAGACTCCACAGCCTCCCTGGGCAGCCTGGGCCAGGGCTCCGTCACCCTCAGAGTGATAGGATAAAATGGCTCAGCTAAAGGACCAGCAAGACTTCAGGCCTCCTCTCCTCTACAGGCACAGAAGCAACGCGCAGGGCAGGACTGCTATGAGGACCTCCCTCACGGCTGGAGCGGGAAGCACCGCAGCGCCTCGCTCCCTTCTGCTTCCCAATGGCTTTGCACGGAGCTGGTGGAAAAGGCACTAATTCAAATAATCTGGTTTTAAAGGGGCACAATCTTCCGTATATATTGCAAATAAGCCTTTTACTCATATCTGTACACAAGGCTATTTAGTTGAAAACCTGCTAAAGGAGTTGGCAGCTGCTGAAAATACATGAAATTTTGGAGTTCAAGCCTCTGTTGGCACCTTTTCAGAAATCTTTGCCTAATTTATTCCAGAAACTTGATTTTATCTGGGTTCTAGTTACATTTTAAATCATGTGAAGTTTAGTTAAACCTGGTTTGAATCAATGTGCCTTTTGCAAAGGTTCATGCCTTGCACACGATGATGAACTGCTTACAACGAAAAGGTTACAGCAGAGCAGATTTACCCAGCTGCTAAGTAGGAACGATTTCTGTAAGAATACGTCAATCTAATTCCAGAGGAGCACTCAGCACTAGCCAGAGCTACCCATGCAGAATTACTGCATTGTGTGTGTACATATATAAATATATATATTACTGCATTAATACAAAGGGAGGTGTGATATCAATGCTTAAGAACACTATGGTGCAGGACAACCCGCATGCAAACATGCATGTTTTAAAATATGTGACTCTATCTTCCTGATTTGTCTTTGACTTTGAGTTCATGGTTTAAGCCCCAATTCTGCAGTGGTCAAGGCTGGTGCGCATCAGCCTCAGTGCGGAGTCAAGATCTTAAAAAGCAAAACAAAATTAGTACTTTTAGTTCAGCGCCACATGTTTTTATCACACGTGTTATCTGCATGCTAAGTCAACCATTCATATGAAGAATTATGTATCAAATTACTCTTTAAGAGGTGAGACTTTCTGTACTGTGTTTCTGTCCATCCTTTCGTTTTGGCAAGGCTTTTTATATCTCCCAAGAGCATGCATCTATAGCATGAGTACGAAGACAGGAGGAGACACAACTACACCAAAAACTCCTGACAAGTACTGTAAGGTACTGCAGAACTCCTTTGCTTGAAGAATAAAAAGCCAAGCAAAGCCAATCCTTCTGCCTCCAGGAAATGACTTTGTTTCCGTATGCTCCTCTGAGTGATAATTAATAACTCCAATTATTTTGGTATTTCCTGAAAATAATTATGGGCAAGTTATTGTGTATTGTTTGTAATTGAGAGGAGAATTTGCTCGTTTCCCTATTAAACTGCACTGATTAAGACAACACTTCTAAGTCACAATAAAACGGAAACGCTGAGGGGGACCTGCTGTTCTCTTCCACCCACAGCAGCTCGGACAGTCCTTCTCTCCCGAGTCTCCAGAAACCTGCGTCTCGCAGTCCACGCCGAGGAACACCACTACAGCCCAGCAATGGAACCTTAAACTCCTCCTTCATCAGCTAGTGTGCTAATTAGTCCAGGATATTACAAAAGACTGTGGTTTCTTACGTTGTAGACTTTTTTTTTTTAAACTTGAGGCAAGTAAAAGAAATACAGGGCTAGTTACAAAGTTTCTAGTGAAAAGCAAGTCCTTTTAAAATATTACCAAAAGTACACTAGCTGGCACAGATCTGATGTGGAGGAGGAGGAGGACGGGAAGTCAACACAGCCAGAAACCAAATCTCCAGCTTTCAGCAGTGGGAGAAATATCAAACACCAAAAAGCATTTGAAACTGCTCAGTCACATACCTTCATTTTATATATATAATTTTAATAGGACTTGACCAAATCAAACCCATCAATGTAATGAAATTTCAGAAATCAGGTTGTTCACATAAAAATGACTTGGTCTCTAAATGATGACATAGTCTAATACACTGCACTATTAAATACGCCCGGACCATCTTCCTTTTTCAAGCGGAATTCTGCCTCTTGCAGAGCTCAGAATAAACAATATTCATTTAGAGAACAGTTTCACAATCCTGTATTGCTCATAATTTTTCAGTCCCCAGCCCTGCTCTCGGTTCAGATGCCCAAGCCAAGACACACAATAGATCAGAAATGAAAGAAAGGAAAATATCACCTCACCAACACACCACAGGATTCCTATCGAGATAGGAATCTTTAGATTTTAGCGCTTAACTCATACAGTCTTTTCTTAAATGCATATGAAATTATTTTAAGCACATGTTATTGGCCCAAAGTTTGCCAATTTTCATGCATGAAGTACCTCTGACAAAAGAGACACTCCTGCCAAACTCCAAATCCCAACTCCACAGCTTAAGAAAATAAACCACCAGAACTTCAACTACAAAAAGCAGAGCGTTTTCCAGCTTCATTCCATAAAAAGGTAGGAGAGAAAAATTTCCAGCAAATAAAGTTCAACGTAGAGTCATTTTGCCCATACACCTCAAATTTGACAGTTACGAACAGCCAAGGAGATGTGTAAGTGGGGGTTGCTGAAGCAGATTTAAAGCCGCTGGTGCTCCCGCCACGCGGGTAGGATGCAGCAGGAATCAAAGAGCACCAGGAGAGAGCTCTCCTCCTTCACCCAGAGCAGAAACACATCAACATGACACACCGCAGAACCCATTTTTTAAGAACTAAGTTAAAAACAGCATCATACTTCTAATCGGAGGATTAAATTCCCACAACTACATTTTTAAAATACCACCTTCTTTTACCGAGAAAAGCAGACCACATCAAAAAATTTCAGTACCAGGGGAAAACGCTCCAGATTCACATTATACCAAGAATTTTATTTTATTATCCAGCATATGGTTCATCTGACCGATCTCTTAAAGCAAGAAAGGGCACTTAATGCTCTGTAAGAGGCCATTAGAGTCCTCAGAGCTTCTTTTAGAGTCACTCCATTCCATTATTGTACGGTGTTCATCTGCCAAAATTAATCACAGCTGTTTAAATCTGAGATTAGTCAAGATTAAGTCATTAATATGGCTAACAGACTGCGTTCAAGAAAAAAGAAAAGACTACAATGTTCTCTTCCTCTTCTAAAAATAGATATCAGTATTATAATTATTTGAAAAGCAATGACCTTTTTGTTGACTATCAGTATTTTTTTTCTCGTGACAGTTCATCCAACAACAATAACAATTCCAGCCTGGCACAAACATAATCAGAATTTAAATACCTTACAGTTCGAAGATCCCATTTTCAAAGCTCTCTCTTTGTATCTGCATAAGCAAAGCGCTTGTTATTCTCCACCCAGCCTAGAAAACGGTTTGGATGCACTACCTGAGCTTTACACATGCCAAATCTCTCATTAGCATGTACAAGCGATCGTCATGTTGTCTAACTAGAGATTATCAGGAAAAAGATGTTGAAATGCATACAGCTGTATCGCCACTGGAAGTTTCTTCTCTACAGCCCAGACTGGCCATGTAGGTGAGTATTCCATTTGAAGGCAAAGAGAGAATACTACGTAGCAGCTTATTTCCTTACAGTTGTACCCTGAAGAATCAACAAAAACGATCTGTGCGCTTGCTTTAGGAAGATGGGTAAAGTTGCTAGACTAATTATCCCTGGCAGCAAATCTTACTCTGTGTATTTTTCTCCTATATCACACACTTAAAGCTCATATTGATGTAAGAAGAAAAGTCAGAATAAAACCTCATAAAAGCAGCAGTATCATGTGCAGGATTAGATTTCTATCAGAACCCAAAAGGAGGACAGCCTTCCTTTAGCTCGAGCATGTGAGAATGCTCAGCAGCTGTCAGCATCACTGCTTTCATTCTCCAGTGGATGAGGGCTGGTGCACGTCAGATGAAGATCCCGGGAACGATGGTTTTTATTTTCTGAGGCTTTCTCCAGTCTAGTGCATGCCACCCACAGCGAGGTCACACGGATTCCCCTACGGTCCTAGGGGAGAACTCCAAAAGCACTAGCATGTTGCTTTTTCCCGTCAAGTTAACAGTAAAATTCCCATTGACTTCAGGAGTACAGTTCACTTCGAACACTTCAAATGGAAATTGAAATATGCAAAATACTGACATAACCAAACAACATTTTTGAGCCATTTTTTTCAATTTAGCTTTTAGCTAGTTCAGTCACCTGATACAGTGACTGTGTATTTGTGGATACAGGTTCTTGTGGTTTTTCAGCTCCTGGGGCTTTTTTCAAGGTTATATAGCAAGACGAAAAAAAAAATCAGGAGACTTTTTAAGCTTTTCCTGTTAATCTCTTATCTATGCTGTGAAAAGCAAGCGGCTTCTTTTGGTTTTGCTTTCCTGCTTCTTCAGAGCGTTCAGCAGTAAGAGTCAGAGCATCTACATACAGCCAAGGAATCACTTTTCAGATGTTTTGCGCTTACCTCATGCGATAATGGAGCCGGTGTGACGTTTTTTCATCTATCTTAAAGACCTGGTTTGGTGCATACCAGAGTCTTTTGTTCTCGTCATACAGAGCAAAGAGATTATGGCACAGAGGGGATATAGCTGTCGAGAAAAGTAAACACGTGTCTGAATCACAAGGCTACACCACATACACACACCTCAACAACACAAATGCATAAAGGAAATCTCTGATTCTCGCAAAATTGAGCATAAAAAGAAACTGATACTAGGATTAGCTTAAAACAAACATTACGAAAGTGACGGTTAAAGTCAAACTGCAAACTGTGCATTGGTTCAATCCACTGGTTTTATGGTGTATCACACAGCATATCATCTCAGCTGCTTCTAACATTAAACTTCTTCTGAAATCCTGGCTTTGCCAAAGGTCTGAACTTAAGAGGAAATGACTTAAAAATCTGCACTTTTTCCAGATCACAGAAATGGGCGTTTTAACAATACCACTCAGCAATACCACAACTTTGTTCTTTATTATATTAATAAATTTTACTCCCATGGTTGAAAGAGAAATTTTTAGTGAAACGATGAAAATCCCCTTCTCATTCGCAAACAAGCACAAAGTGTAACGCGTCATTTTTACATTCTTCGCTAACTCAACAGAGGGTTTTCCAACAAAGAACAGACTTTGACTTGTATGTCTAGGCTGACCTGCTTTAACCTTTATATTTACATCATCTCAGCGAAAACCAGGCTGCGCTATGCTGACAGGCCTGCTGTTGTTTGAATTCCTTGCCTCAGTCTCCTGGCTCAACAGGAGCCCGTACCTTTTTGCAAAAGCCCTGCTCAGGCAAGCAGCTCTGTTGCAGAGAGCACCGTAGCACGGGCGTAAGCGTCTTTCTGAAACTGGGCCAACTGCAGAGCGCTTTGTTGGGGTCCCGCAGAATTCAGTGAAACCATTTCTGTTGTGAATTGGGGAGAGAGAGCAGAAGGGAAGAAGAGGAGCCAAGGAAATCGGAACTGAGCAGCCTCATTGCAAAATCCACAGCACGGGGAGTTGGGCAGCCACCGCCTTCTGCGGCCCACGAGCAGGACGCAGATGCCAGCAGTGGTTTAACTGTTCAAGCTGTGATTTACAGCAGAGACCAGCATCCCAGGCTTGCTGAAGCAGGTAAGACTTTTGCACTTCACTACCATCTGCTGTGGATTTAGGGAAAAGTGAGAGAAGGCAGAAAGAAGTGCCCTAAAGGAAAGCTCACTGTAAATCATTTCTGCAAAGGTTTTAAACTTCCAGCAGAAATTACTGGGAGCAGTTGCACAGTATGCGGGGTCACATCCATACAAACAGCAGCAGTTCATAGCTCTTATGTGCTGACATAAACAGGTGGGTTTTAAGTGCTCCTCATTTTCATTAAAACTATCCAAAACCAACATGAGTACTTATTTCATGAGGTCTGTCCTTTAGATTCCCATCATTCCTGCCTTTCCAATGGAAGAGAAGCAATTAGGCAAAAGAACTGAAGGGTACTCAATGTTACAAGAACCAAGATGACATGTGAAACGAAAAAAATGTAAAGCAGCAGGAAAATTTTTCCCTCGTTTGCCTGTTCACACAGCCAGATTCACCACCCTGGTATCAGCTGAATAATATTTAGCATTCCATGAAACCTGGGGAACACAAAATTGGGATCAGGGGAGGAAAGAACTTTAAAATTGTAAATCTAAAAGTACACTGCTTCATGAGGCTCAAACATAGGTTAAACCCATTAATTTCAATGGAATGACACAAATGGTCAAATATTTTGCTCAGTCAAGGACCACAGTGACAGAGCAGGAAATCTGCATTATACACTTATTACAGCAATTATAAGCAGTTCAGGTTACCTGGTGGATTATAAGTACTACAGACACCATAACTCTCTGCAAAGAAGTGTCAAGTAACAGAAAACTAAAACTGGAAAAGCAACAAATGGATTTTGTTTGTTTTTTTTTTTTTTCATTAGCCCTCTCCAAAATGTTTTGTATCACAGGACAGATCCTGACAGGCTTACCAACCAGCACACGACATAAAGCCAGCTTTGTGTTAACTGATTTGCACATGGTGTCTCCTCTTCTCTTAAAAGACACCTGAGCATCCCATCCAAATTGAAAAATCGGTACCTGTATCTGCCAGAAACCAGGGTGAGAGATCATCACTTCATATGAATCTCGGGACAGTCTCTCCCACCACTTCTTCCACCCCAAGCAGTTTAAGAACTGCCCAGACACACCCCGGGCAAAGGTTTCCATCCCAGACTACCTAACCTGCGTATTTCTTCTACAAGCGTCGACTCACACGCAGAAAACGATCCATCACTTTCGATACCGTCAGGCCTTGCCACCGAGACCTTCCATAAAATCCATATACTCACAGCACTTCTGGGCAGCTTCAATGCACAGCTCCTCCGAGGTAAACTCGCCACTGGTGTAACAAATGGGAGCTTTATCTTGCAGGTACAAGAGTATTTCCAAACCCTGATGCTGAGCTTCCACGTTTACTTCGCTCTTCTTCGTGCTCCTCATTTTTGCACAGAAAGCCATGGCTTTGCAGTCTTCTTTTACGTTTAGATACTGAAAGTGGAGGAAAAATAGTTAAGGAAAATGTGAAGAAGAGTTTGAACACTTGTCAGAACGCAAACTCGTCGCTTAATGAGGCTACTGCATACTATTATGGGCTAGATACAGCATTTGTCAAAAGTCTTCACAGTGGGAATCTGATCATTCAGAATCAGTACTTCTCACAAATGAGGGGAAAAATGAAAAAATAAATATCAATGATTATTCAGTTTCTGGTAACTCTGCTCCCAGTAACTCCCCTCCGTTCTGGTGGTTCCACAACTATTGTAGAAGATTCCTCATCTTACTGTAAAGGAGTAACTTTCACATCCTTAAGCACCTAACTGGCTGGAAAACAATACTTGAGGCTGGGTAATATGAACAGTACAATTTAGATTTCCTTTAAAAAAAAAGTTAGCTTCTATTTCTACATCTCCTTAATAGCCAAATATTTCTGATACTTCTCTCTCCTCTCACCCTTTGTCATTTAAACTCCTGATACTTAATATGTCATGATGAAATGAGCTTTATTGGAGAGAGTTTTTTTATTGTTACTTCTTGATGTCTCCAGCAGGAAAGAGTAGCACTAAGTAGGTTTAATGCAGTGTCTTTTAGACTGCCAGGAATGTATACAAGACAGCTCTGACTCGAAAGAAAATGCATGTTGCATTTTATGCCCAGTGCTTATATAGAAAGAGCAGAAAGGAATGAGATGAACACACACTTCGGGTATTATGGGGTCTGGTTCCATGTTTTACTAAAGCTTTAGCTCAATTAATAACAAAAGCCCAAACCACCATTTCTATAGTTTACAAACTTCATCCTCCCACCGAAAAACAAACAAACAAAACCAAACCTCAAAAGCCAACACACCTGCATTTATGTGACTGTCTGATCCTCTACACAACCGAAATGGATTATCTTCACGCTCTCCAAGAGCAACTTGAGTCCAGCTGAGGAAAAAAAAGAATAAAAGTTGTCAAGAAGGGCTTTGTACAGTTTGAGGCACAAAATACTCAGTCAGGCTGATAAACTGCCACTTGCAATCTCAGGGAATCTTTCCATTCGTATAACTGAGATCCAGATCTAGTCTCGACCAAAACCAGTCACAACAAGCATCTAGGAGTCTATTTAAGTCTACTGACTTCTTTTAACTCTTTGGGTGCGCTGGTTGAGATGCAAACAAAAACCAGGGGAAAAGCTTTGGTTATTCATTGTTTTCACATTTTCAGAGCATCAAACATCAGTTTGGTGTTGTATTCATTGCAACCCTTGGCTGTGACACCGAGGGAGCATTCTTCTCTCTGCTTTACCTCCTTCATGGCTTTTGAAGTCACTTCATTCTTCACATTTTTAACTGCATATTACTAATTCTAATTCTCCCCTAGTCTACTGTTTCTTTGCCTTACAGATTACCAGGTTTTTTTTCTTTGTTTTAGTCTCCTTTGGTCTCTGAAAGGTGCAGAGCCTTGGGGGGGGTGTGGCAAGGAATAAGGAAGCTACTCATTGCAAGGGTCGTATTCCTCTCAGAGAAACCTTCTTCACAAGGAGCGCAGCCCGTGACTTCAGTGCCTTCAAGCACTAGGGCCACCACCCAAGAGCCTACAGGGTTTTTTTAAGCCTTATCTAACACCACAAACCACCTCAGTGTTCTGGGGCTGGTTTGCAAAACTACTCCTGCCCAAAGTTCCAGCTTATCCTTATCACCTGAAGCAAACCAGGAACCCTCTTTTTTAGTGGTAGGCGTGACGGTGGCTCTGTTTAAAGCATTGTCTGATACCAGGGCTGTAATATCAACAAGACACTACAGAAATACTTAAGAAGCATGGGCATTGGTAAGACATCTCCCTAGTCCCAGTCCTGATGGTAGAGCGCGGACCTGGTATGCTTGAAAGGCATGGGTGCGTGTTTCTTTCCAAAGGCAGACAAGGCTGCTCCTCTCCCACTGGCATGGGAATAAACCAGATGAGAAAGCAGTGTGGGCTTCTTGAAGAGAAGGGGGAGGTGGGACTCTGTTCTGTGTCTCCAGAGAGAGCCCCGTGCTCTGGCACTGGTCCCGCGGCACTGTCCATCAGCCACGGCTCCACGCTCTCAAGGGGAAACCATCCCACTTGCTGCTCCTGGGGTAGTCACTAATTAAGTGTGACAGTAAACTAAAAATGTGTCTAAACTTAACACGACAATACTGCTGGTTTGGTAAATGTCCCCATCACCCACCCAAGGCTGAAAGACTCCTCCACTTGTATTGCCCATCCCTCCCTTTTTCTCTTCTCCTCCACCTCTGCCAAACTTGACCTAAATGTGTATCTGTTTTGCTGCAACCGCATTAGGCCTTAATGTGACACAGCAGACTGCAATAAATATTGCGTTATAAGCCTTAGGCTTAGTCTGGAGAAAGTCTGACACTGCCACACAAGCTCCCCTTGCACTTGGGAAGCGCCCAGCAAACGTGATACTACCATCGAAAACAATAACATTTAACAGCACAGCACTTCTTCCAACTAAATCGCATGTTTCTTCCATCCATGCCACTTTCATGCTAAATTTGAGTCTCCAGACACATTCCCTTGGCAATAATATGTGGAAGAAGTAATTGAGAGCATGATTACTGCAACACGCGGACGGGCCAGTAATTATTTCTGCACAGCACTAGAAAACTTCAATGCAAAAGGTTAAAGATATTAGCTTTGATCTAATTGAAAACACGCCCTTTTAAATGACATCTTATAACTGAAAATCAATATATTTTAATGCCTGTGTGGGCATAATATTAAAAAGACTGTCCAGACGTTTTAAAAGGGGAACATAAAACCACTGCCTTCTTGCAGATTCATAAATCAAAACTGTTGCTTTTCAACAGTGTTCTTTGGTTTTACTTAATAGCTTGCGCTCTGGTTTCTAATCACAGCAGCAATTCCCAGAATACAAAAAAACCTTAAGCGCCGCTTCATTTACAATACTCTTCGGGGGATGAACCAACCAAACCAACGTCCAATCTCTAACTTACTAACGAGTTTTCCAGATATTCCCATGCTTAATGTCAGGAATTCACTTTCATAAAACGCACTTAGTCTTCAACAAAGCGACCCCTGAACAAGACAAACTCCCGCTCTGCCTCAGCAGCGGCACGCCGCGCCAGTCCAGAGCGGTAATGCTACGGTACGCGCAGGTGACGGCACGCGGCGACGGCCAGGACAGCGTTCCGGCAGCCCCG